GACCGCTCCGGCGCCGGCGAAGCAGCGACTTGTCCGCCCGACCCCGTCGAACCCATTTCTCTTCCTGCTCCTCCTCCTCCTCCTCCTGCTCCTGCTCCTGCTCCCTCCTCCTCCTCCTATTCGTCCTGCTGCTCCTCCTCCTCCTCCTCCTCCTGCTCCTCCTCTCCCTCCTGCTCTCTCCCTCCTCCTCTCCCTCCTGCTCCTCCTCTTCGTCCTCCTCGTCCTCCTCCCCCTCCTCCTCCTCCTCCTCCTCCTCCTCTCCTCCTCCTTCTCCTCCTCCTCTTCCTCCTCCTCCTGCTCCTCTCGCCTCCTCCTCTTTCCTCCTCCTGCTGCTGCTGCTGCTGCTCCTCCTCTCCTCCTCCTCCTCCTCCTCCTCCTCCTGCTGCTCCTCCTCCTCCTCCTCCTGCCTCCTCTCCCTCCTCCTTCCTCCTGGTGCTTCTCCTCTCCTCCTCCTCCTCTCCTCCTCCCCTCCTCCCTCCTCCTCCTCCTTCCTCCTCCTCCTCCTCTCCTCCCTCCTCCCCTCCTCCTCCTCCTCTCCTCCTCCTCTCCCCTCCTCCTCTCTCTCTCCTCCTCCTCCTCCCTCCTCCTCCTCCGCCTCCTCCTCCTCCTCCTCCTCCTCCTCCTCCTCCTCCTCCTCCTCCTCTCTCCTCCTCTCTCTCTCTCCTCCTCCTCCTCCTCCTCCTCCTCCTCCGCCTCCTCCTCCTCCTCCTCCTGCTCCTCCTCGTCTCCTGAATGCAGTGCCGGTATGAGGTCCTCCTTTTCTTTCACTTGTCGGACGCTTTCAAGTCAGGCCTCGTGTGCCCGCCCTTTCCCGCCTGCCCTCTAGTCCCCGCGGGAGCTCAGTATGGCAGTCGCCTGCAGCAACAAAAACAACTCCTCCTCCTCCTCGCCGCAGCGCTGCATTCAGCGATCCCCTCCACCGCGCCGCTAGCGGGGCGGCTGCGCGCGACCGCCAGCTCGGCGCGGAGGCGTCGGGCCCACGCCGGGGTCCGACAGGTCCAGAAGGGGGGGGCGAGAGGGAGCGGGCCGTGTTCTGATAACCATACCCCTCCATGGTTAATTCAAGCTTCGCGCGGCCCGCTTAGCTTCGACCGGAAGAGGTGCGCTCTCGACCCGCGAATAAAAAAGTGTTCTGATAACCATACCCTGACAGAAAGGTAGTCGAAGAACAATAAACGCCATCAAACAGAATTTTTTGGCGCTCCGCGCGCATTTCTTGGATCCGCGCTGGGCGCCCCCGGCGGCGCCTCTCGCGCCACCCCTGGTGCGATCCGCGCGCCAGGGAGGAGGGTCCAGAGCGGATCCAGAGCCTGTCTTTCTTTAGATTCAGGCAAGTTTATTTGCATGGCGTTCGCCCTCTCCTCGACCCCTTCTGCATGGGCGTGCAAGTGCCTTTCGACTTGCGTGATTTCTGAACGTCAAGTCGTTTGCGGCCTGCTTCAGGTTCAGTACCCCCCCACGTCCATGCAAGTAAACTTGCCAGGGTCTAAAGATAGCAGGCTCCAAGAACCCGCGTGGAGCGCCACAAGTTGATGTGTATGGCATTTTGTTGTTGTTTTTGTTTCTTTTTGTGTGTTCGTTTGTGTTCCTCCCACATCTTTATTCCAGCGAGAGGGGCTGGGGTAGGGGTGAGCGGCGGGGCCACTCGATCTTGAATGTGTAGCGCAGTGTAGCAAACGACGTAGCACCCTGCATGTTTTCATGCACGTGTGATACTCTTGTGGGTGGTGCTGTCGACGACGCATTGGGATCTCGTAAACGTAGTAGTAGTACTCGCGTGGCTTCATCTGGCACCTGGAGGATGTATCTGGAGACCCACAATCGAATGATAGTATCATGTTAGGGCGTGTCCTCACCACGCGGCCTCTTAGCAATCCTATCGAGGTCGTCCTCGGGGCTCCATTTGAGGTAGCCGCCAGCAGGTCATGGTCAGCCATGTCATATGTAGTATTCGTTGGTGATTTCGCAGCCGGAGGGGCCGGTCAGCATTGCGGGTTGGCAGTGCAGTTTCTGATCTTTGGTGAGCTCGTTGGCGTCGTGGTTCATTCAGTAGATCTTGACGTCTCTCAAGTCATCAACAATTCAACCGGCATATTGGCCATGGCTGTACAGCTTCTCTACCAACGCCTTGGTGCGTGATGCAATGATCGGAGTTCTGCTGATGTCAAGAGTGATTTTGTTGCGAGTATCAGGTTTGTACGAGAGGTCGCATGGGAAGCGAATTGCTGAATGCCTTGGCTGCATTTCAGCAGTAGTGTATGCTCTCGGCGATATCCAGTATCTCTCAGGTAGGAGTAGCGGTGGTTACTGTCCGTGGTGTGATCGCTGTGGCCGGTAAGCAGATTGCACGTCATGTGTAAGGTCGCCGTATATATATATATATATATATATATATTTATTCATATACGATAAAGATGTAGTCTTTCATGTATTTGAGTCGTGCTGGAGGGCGTTCTTGATGTCGGCGACCTTGACGTACATGTTGTTGTCATCCAATGCAGTGATTTCGCATAGTACTTGCATCCACCGGTTGTCTTGGCGTATGTCGAGAAGCCATGTGCCGGCCTCCTGGTACGTAGCTGGTTGCTCCTGGCTTCTTGTATCGACTGCAAGTGCAGGCTTCCATATGCCACCAGTGATGTAGTACGACAGAGGCGGCACGAACTGTCATAGTCGGCGTGATATGTAGCTTTGTAATTTGAGCCGATGGCTATATGGTGGTGTTGTGACGCGGGTAGACATATAGCCACTAGTTGTAACACCTCGCTGTTGCGGCAGAACTAGTAGGAATGGCTGTTAGCTGGTATCGCGCTAACAGGCGCGTAGTACGGGTGTAGTTCTGCGGCGGTTGGGAGCTATACAGTACACACCCGAGTGCAGGTGCAGCCAGAAGAAAGGTAGGTTGGCAGGTGAGTGAGTAGGGTGTACTCTTGCACGCGCGCTGCAGGTGGGGTACCCTGGGCGGCCGAGACATCGTATGTGCATGCGGGAGCAGGTGACCACGGGGGAGGGAGCCTACCTGGGGGAGTCGTAGCAGGTCGGGCTGGTCGTAGACCAGCTTAGGCCTCGGTCTCGATCTCATCGGCCTTCCCCTTACGGTCCGAGGTGTCACCCTTGTCGTCGATTACGCCGTTCACGGTGTAGTTCATGCCTTTCGTATTGTTGTCCTAGCTGGAGTAGGGCTCGAGGGTGGTACCCATGAGCTGCGCGGGCTTGTTGTCGTGGCGGATGTCCGTCTGCTGTTTGTCCGTCTTGTAGTAGCCCTCCAATGCGAAGGCGCCATCCGGTTTGCGCAGGCATATGTAGTGCGTGTTGGCGATGGCCTTGAGCGGGTTGTAGTGGATGTTGTTCTCAATGTGCTTGCGAGTTCGATATTTTGCTTAATCGTACAAGGCGAATTGGTCGATGTATATGATGTCGTAGTTGAACACCTTCGTGAAGCAGGTTTCCTGTATTCCTGCTGAGGTTAGCGATGTTCATGGATGTATCCAGCGGTGCTTGTATGGCCTTCGCCATGGGCTCGCAGTAAACAAGTACGATAATCCTCTCTGGCCAGTCGGACGTGGTGAGGCAGATGTGCCACTGCTGTGGTAGCACGAACGTCTTGCGCAAGGTCTCCAAGGAGTAGTCGTTATCGCGTATTGTGCCTGGGCAGTTGTCGATGGAGTACGTAGCGTTTTTGTAGTCGCCTGATGCTAAGCACTTTCGCTTCGTACTTCGTGATGTAATGTCTGATCGAGTGGCCCAGATCAGATATCTTGAAACTTGCGTACATGTTTCCGTTATGGTATTCGGTGTTGTGCACCTTGATAGGTATTTGCAGCCATGTGTTCGTCCCTTGGCGTCCGCGTCGTACTTCCCGACTTCTTCCATGTACACCCTGTTTTGTGCAAGCCGTTAGTGCACTCCCGGACGAGGTACTTCTTGGTAGCCGCCATGCCGCAGCACAGTGGTGTGGGGTTACGTTTGGATGTAGCTGAAGCTTGAGCCTAGGTGCTAATATGCCTCCTCCCCCTCCTCCTCATCATCCCTTCATATTCCCCATCCTGCCCCTCATGCCGTCTTCTCCATCCCCGAGCACACTGCCGCCATGAACATAGCTCAGTGGTTCAGTGGGTCGAAGAGCAGACAGTAGATCTGAATTGAGCCGATAATGGGTCGTTGCGCGGTAGGAGATGCATGTGTTCACTTGTCCTTGGGGACGCAGGTGCTTGTCTTCGTCTCTCCCGTCCCTCCCTCCATGCTCCAGGCTGCATGCTGTTGGCAACGCTGCCCGCTGTTACACAGCTTTAGCTTGCTACTCCCTCTGTCCTTGTCTGCCTCTCTCCCTCGGTTGGTCCCTCCCTCCCTCTTTCCCCCCGTCCCTCTCCGTTTCTCCTCTGCTCCCCACGCGCCCCCCTCGTGCCCTGGACGCCGCAGCGCACGGCGAAGGTTGGCCAGCCACGAGGGGCAGAAGCTGCGATGCAGAGCGCTGCTCCCTGCCGCTACGCTCGCCCTCCTCCGCTTCCCCTTCACAATTACTCAATATGAAAATACTCTCCCTCTTCCCCTGATGGCGTCCGGGTGATGGCCGCGCACCCTCCGCGTACTGTTTTTTTACACAGGATGCCCGGGAAATCCCGGGAAACGACTCTCGCTGAGGCGCCGGCGTCATTTTTTCCCAAAATGCTGCTCTCGTTGAGGCGCCGGCCTCATTTCTGCTCCCGAATCGTTCCGAATCGTGCTCCCGCTGCAGCGTGGGCCTCATTTTCGGATCGGTGTTTGGCCTCCGTCGTTCAGGATGGCGTTCTCGCCCCAGCGCGGGCCTTTTTCTCGCGCGCCCATCCGCCCGCCACCACCGCGCCGCACCGCCACCACCACCACCACCACCACCACCACCACCACCACCACCACCACCACCACCACCACCACCACCACCACCACCACCACCACCACCACACCACCACACCACACAACCAGCACCAGCACCAGCACCAGCACCACCACCAGTACCCACCACC